CCCTGTACAGGGTTTCTGAGGCTGTAAATCTTTACAGGAGCAGAAAGCCTCATCTTCCTCCTGCTGAACAGCTGGTAGTTTAGAACTGCTGACCTTGTGGTTCGCAGGCCAATTCTATACTAAGGTTTCCTCCGATTCAAGTACCTGGTACTGATCTGCCAACACCATCTAGCACCTAAGAAGAGAAGATGATTCTCACCCCCATGGGCCATCCCCCAGGCCCTAACTTAACCTACATAATTAGAATATGCATTCCAGAAGGGGAATGGATTCACAAGATGAGATGTCTCTTTAAAACACATTCTTCCCAATACTTCCTACCCCACCCCACCCTAATCACAGTTCTAAGTGCTTATGGCATGGGAAAGCTGACTGTTTAAGAGATCTTATGAGTCTCATTTTGAGGAGAGGTTTTCCCCGGGAGTTGCATGCTGCCATCTCTCAGACCACAAACAGAGAACCCCACGCACGCTAACTGTTGCAGTCAGCCTGGTGTACTGCAAGCTGGATCCGCTGATGATGGCCAAAGCCAGCGATTTTAATTAAAAACACTACATATGCCGTTAAATACATTGTTCTCCCACCAGTCCCCAGACACTCAAGTTTGAGGAGATACAAACAAGGGAATCCAGTACAGATGTGCAGGGAAAACATTGCCTACTGAGTCACAACCAGTGGGCTCTCAGATTCCAGCCTGGGAGGGCCTCCCCATCACAGCATTCTTCATAAGCAAACAGCTCTGTCATTTTCAGTTTACCACAGTTGCCATCACTGGAGAAGGAGCGCCATGGGGAGCCCAGAGGAGAGACAGACACAGTATCACCTCACTTAATTTATTAAGCACAGCCTAGTATTTTTACAGATAACCTTCATGATTAAAGTTCCAGGGCCACACATAGAATGATACCTTCCTTCCTGCCCTTTTGTTAATGTATTTTACTTTAAGAAACAAAAACTAAACAAACACGCAAGAACCTATTTTGGGGACAATCACATGCTAACGGTGGGAATCTTCCCAGATACAACACTTGCTTGACATAAGCAATTTTAAGCTGTTGGAACACAAAAAACTCAGCAACTCTTAACTGGACCATTTTTGTCCCCAAGGTAGCACTGACTGCTGGCTTTCATTTTCATTGTGTCTACTTTAAGTGGCCCTCAGATGGACCCAGGCCTCTCCTTTAAGGAATTCAATCAAAATGACATCTCCTCATACCTTTGGCATTCTGATCCCCTCAGGTAGTTATCAATGAGACAGAGCGCCCCCTTCTGCAAAGTCCAAATTTAGCGTGACTGGAGTTCGCCTTAAGCCACTTATAGGCTGCTTCAGCCATCTTCTCAGACCCAACAGGGCTGCCAGAAGTTTACTAGCCTGCAGAATTTTGTAATAAAATCTGAGGAGAAATTCCCTGCAGGAGCGGGAGAAGACCCCAAGTGCAAAGGAATGATGTCAGCTTTTGTTAGAGCGACAGGCAGTGTTAGAATAGACTTGGCATAATATGGCGCTGGTATCTCTGTCAGCATCTCTGTTTTCTGTCACCACACACAATCCTGGGCCTGTCTGGAGTCCTCACAGTGTCTCTTCAGATCAGGCCATTGCCAGCCTAGAGACCCGTTCTGTCCCCTACCACACAGCCCCTTTGTTTGAAGTCTGCCCTTTTGTCATTAATGTACTTGATGTCTATTTAAGTCTGACGGTGAATGCAGTATCTGTTTTCCCGTCAAGAGATCACTGACAATATTAATACCTCATGTCCTTGCTCATTTTCCAAGCGCTGACACCTAGCCACAGTCTCCTGCATTCATCACGCAGTCTTCTCTCACCAGGATGTCTATAAACATTCTTGCTGGCAGGCCCAAGGAAACAGGGCAGGCCTTTAAAATAGCCTTTTGTCAATGCCGACCAGAAGGAAAGACTCAGAAATGGGGCTGCTAAAACTCACCCTCTATTTCATACGGTTTATATTCTAGGAGTAGCTAGTCAGTTTTAAGTTGATACTTGCTGTCCAGGTTGTGTCTTAGGGAGATCAAGAGTTGGTGTGAATGAAGAGAGGTTAGAAAATGGAAACGCAATCCCTGAACACACTGGAGAGAACACACCCATTGCTGTGGGGTATGTTTGTATGTGTATTTCTGCTTTTCATTCTTTTACTCAAGAGAAGGACTGTGTTCTTTATGGTATCAGACAGCCCTATCCATTTCTTTTTATAAAAATGCATGCTTTCCTGGTGCTGTAGCAAGAAATTAACATCCCTCGGCTCCAACCTTCCAGATTCTTGAGAGTTTATTTGAAACCATTATGTTTTAAGGACGTCCCTCGTAGCGTAGTGGTTACGAATCGGACTGCGAACCTTAAGGTCAGCGGTTCGAAACTACCAGCCGCTCCGCGGGAGAAAGATGAGGCTTTCTACTCCCGTAAAGATTTACACCCTCGGAAACCCTGTACAGGGTCGCTATGGGTCGGACCCGACTCGATGGCACTCAACAACAACAACAACTCGTGGATTTTCAGAAACTTAGACATTCCTGTCTAGGCTGTAGGAGATGCTGTGCACCAGGTATAGAAGATCCCAGCAATGGTGATAATGTGAATGCTACAGAATTCAGCATCATGAAGGGAACAACTCAGAGCCAACAGCTACTAAAAATAGCTGGTGACCCAGAAGAATCTCCTTGAACTTACATCCAAGCCCAATAGTGTGGCACTGTGGGATAAGCACTGGACTACTAACTGCTAGGTTGGTGGTTCAACCCACCAGCTGCTCCTCAGAAACCCTATGGAGGGTCACTCTGAGTCTAAACCGACTCGACAGCGCATAACTAGACTAGAAGCCAGAAATTGTTAAGTAGGAGCCAAGCATCAAAGAAGTCCAAGGGAGCAGAGTGGTCCACTCTATGGAAGGTTGTTGTTGTTGCTGTTGCTACAAGTGCTGTCGAGTTGTTTCTGACTCTTAACCACCCTGTATAAGGTTTCTGAGACTGTCAATCTTTGCAGGAGCAGAAAGCCTCATCGTTCTCCCATGGAACAACTGGTGGGCTCTAACTGCTGACCTTGTGGTTCTGAGTCCAGCACTTACTCTACAGAACCACCACACTCCCTGGAAATATGGCAGGAGGAAAAAAAAATAGTCATAGAAGCTACTTTATCCTTTCCCTGTTGAAAATCCTCAATCTTTGTTTAAGAAAAGGGTTTAAAGTTTTGAGATGTAGAAACATTTTTTTTTTTTCCAATCTCACATATATGACAAAGTATATTGATTGCTTAGAATTTCTGCGTGAGGAACCTAGGCAATTCCAAGTGCTAATGTATCCTAAATTAACAATAAATCGTACTTCTTGTTTCACACTATCAAACTGAAGGGAAAAATAATTATGCAGATAGTTAGCTTATTTTCATATGCAGATTTGTGGTTCCTGAATTACTGTTTTACAGACATTTCTTTGTTTTCCTCTAGTTGTCTACAAATACTTCATAAACTCAAATCCTGCTAGTAATGAGAACTCTGCGACTGAATTTGATATTAGTTTTTCTAAAATTAGAAGAAAAGGAAAAGTCAGGTGACGAACAGCAAACTAAAGTTAAAAATATTTTCTTGGAGAAACCGATTTTTCCTTAATTCGACCAAGACTTCACAAGAGCTATGGCGGGTGATTTCTTTTGGGTGTTTAGAATAAATACTGACTTTATTCTAAAAAGTCTGACCACATACTAGAGAAAGTTTTCATACTGAAGGCCTCCTACAGTCTCCTTCCATGAGAGCAAAGCTGTACAAGAGCTACAAGCTTATTTAAAATGAAAGTGAAGCTAGATATCAAATGCTTTCTAATATGAGAAAAGAGTTTAAGAAGCTGGGAGCTTAAGATGCTGGGAGCTCTTGTTACCTTCCACTTAGCATTTTGTCAACGTCACCTTCTTAATCATCAACCATGCGTTCAATGTCTTCCAGAATTTGAAGGTTGTCTCTGGAATATAACTGATTGATTGCTGTTGTTTTTAAGTCAGTTCCAACACATAGCAACCCTGAATAGGGTTTCCAAGGAGTGGCTGGTGATCTTGAACCACTGACCTTGCAGTTCAGATCGATATTACACTCCACACCAGGACTTCAAATTCATCGCAAATCTGGGAAGATTGCTCCACGCCCTTTGCTTGAATTGGGTCCATCTTTGGACTTATAATGACTGGCTAGGGTTAGTACAAGTGCTCTTTTGGGTTTCCAAGGCTGAATCTTTACAGAAGTAGGCTGCCCCAGCATCTCCTGTGAAGCACTGAATGGGCTTCAACTGCTGATCTTTTGACTAGCAGCCCACCATTTAATCACTCTGCCATTAGGTCTCATTGGGTTATCATTATGCTCTTAATTTTTGTATTTAGTGTAGTGGTTACGAGTTGGGCTGCTAACCTCAAGGTTAGCAGTTCAAAACTACCAGTGGTTCTGCAGGAGACTGATGAGGCTTTCGGCTCCCGTAAAGATTTATAGCCTCGGAAACTCTGTACAGGGTCACTATGAGTCGGAACTGACTCCACAGCACATAACCACACCACCACCATCAGAGTCCTGGTATGGCACGGAGGGTTAACACACTCAACTGCAAGGATGGGTTGAACCTCAAGGTCGGTGGTTCAAACTCATCAGTTGCTCCTAGGAAACCCGATACAGGATCACTATGGGTTGGAACTGACTCAACGGCATTGAACCACATGGGAACCTAGAAGGAGGAGGGCTGTATGCTGTATTTTGGGGAGTAATTGGTCAACTCAGAAAAGTCACAAAAATGTGGAGGAGAAATCTGCAGAACACATCATTCCTAGGAGCATAGAGGTAGTGCTCTAATGACTGGAGGGTAACGTTTATCACATGAAGGGAGAGTTCTTCCTCCTGGCACTTTGTGCATCTTCCGTCATGCATTGGTCAGGTATCATTCCTGCTTTGTAGCACCAATGTTTCATTGCTGGACTAATGTACCGCCTGTAACCACGTCTTTCTTTTCATTTGTAGGTGTTCTGGGGAAGTGTCACTACGTTTACTGTGGGAAAAACTCCGAGGGCAACAGGTTCATCCGAGATGACCAACTGTGAAGCCAGTTCTGAAGTCACATTCTGTAATTTCATGGGAATGAAAATAAAGTGGAAAACAAAAATAAAAGGCTAAAGAAAAATGCATGGCCTAGACTGCATCTCTATGTAAACACAATGTCGTCAGCTTTTGGTACCCTCTGCTGACTTTGACACGTCTGTCAAGGTCATGCTTCTATCTTCTACTGAGTGATCACAGAGAGACTGACAGAGTTGCCCTTAAGAAGGTCTCATCCACCAGGGTGGCAGACAGAGACGGCGAAGTACCAAGCCTGACAGGATGAACACCATGATAGATTACCTGGACAGTCCACTGCGCATGGGGAGCAAAGGTCACACCTGGGGCCTCCCAGAGCATGCTCAGTTGACTCCAGTCAAGTCTTCAGCTTGCCTATTGAGAGACAGCACTCTGATACCATCGTGCTGTGGGCTGATTTTAACTCAAATAGTCACAGTTTAGGGAAAGACGGCTCTCCCTTCATCTTCTTAAATTTTATTCTTCTAGTTAGCACATGCATATCATATCCACCCCTCCCCCGTGCCCCCTATCACAGTCAGTCCATTTAATTGTGTAGTTTCTCTGAGAACACAAGGTATAAATTCTCAGCTGGGTCACATGATATAACCAGCATTGTTACGATTTCTATAATGGAGTATATGTTGTTGCTAGTTGCCATAGACTTGGCTGTAACTCTTGAAGACCTTCTGTAGAAGGGAACAGAGTGCTGCCTGCTCCTCACCATTGTCGTGCTCCTTAGTGTGTCTGCGTCCACTCTTGGATGCACTGGGGAATGCCTTCTACCAGGGGAGCTCATCTTCCAGCACTAGATGTTTTCAGTACTAGACCACCATGTTTTTTTTTTCATAGTCTCTCTTAGTCTGGAAGTTCTGATGAAACTTATCCTGCCTGAGTGACTCTGCTGGTATCTGAAATACGGATGACATAGCCGCCAGCATCATGTAATACACAAGCCACCACCATACACAATGGCAGTCTGTTGGTTTGTGGAGAACATACATTTCTCTGGATCTGAGAACTTCAAAACTTGGAGTTTTCCTCATACCCATTCATTTCTAAATCTAGTGATTGCCTTGAATATGTTACAACATCAGGAATCTTTCCCAGGATGATGGTTTGATAGCATGAGGGACTTTACTATATATATATTTTTTTTTTTTTTTTTTTTTTTTGAACTACACACACTTTCAACTGTGGGGTTGACTTACTTCTAAGGGTGCTATTTAAAGGTAATGAAGTGATGAAATGAATAGGGCAGGAGGTTGAAAAATAAAATGAAAACTACAGAAAACAACAAATCGACCAAATACTTTTTCTAGGAGGCATAGTCCTTTTGAATGTGGTCTCTTTCTCATGACCTTTTGGAAATTAAATCCGTAGCTTGTGAGATGATGCTACATCTTTGCATCCTTGGCTGTGTTCCAGCAAGAATGCCACATGGGAATAAGCAAGATTGTGCTATTTTGGTCATTTCATTTTGTTTACTAGAGCACCAGTAAATTCACTCCAGAAGATACTGGAAAGGCTGGCTGCTTTTAACACAATAGCATTTTATTTTATTTTATGTTTTCCTTTTCAACATTTAGATCAAGTGTTCTTTGCCTTGATAAGCGCTGGGCCATAAAGTAAGTTTGAACCACAAGGTCAGCAGTTCAAACTCACTACCCATTCCTCAGAAACCCTGTTCAACATTTAGTTGGAACTGACTTGATAACAGTTAACAATATTCATTGCCCTGGATCTCCCCATATTAGGATAGTTTGAGGACTGGGATTAGGTGCCACCGTCAAATGTGTCCTGACTCAGTGACACTAAACACCAGGAAAGTCAATCCTGCCTGGTCCTGCACCATCCTCACAATTGTTCTGCTTATGGTCACTGTTGTTGCCATGGTATCATTCCATTTCAATGCAGGACTTCCTCTGTTTCACAGACTTTCCAAACGTAATATCCTTCTCCAGGGATTGATCCCTCCTGATAATATGTTCCAAGCATGTGAGATGAAGTCTCACCATCCTGGCATCTAAGAAGCATTCCAAGGATTCTTATTGTTAAGTGTCATTGAGTCAGCTCCTACTCACAGCAACCCTGTATAAGGTTTCTGAGGAATGGCTAGTGAACTTGAACCACCAACTTGCTGTTCAAACCAACCTTGCAGTCCAGTGCATTGACACACAGTGCCACCCCTCCACCCCATCCCCCACTCAGATCACAGGTACCAAGGGATTAGGAGGTTGCTATTGTAAAAGTCTATCCAGACTTTCGGTTCTGGCGGGGAAAGAGCAGAGTCAGGGAGGACAGGCTCCATTGGGGAGGGGCTCAAAACCCAGAGAAGCTGCTCCCACGGAATAGCACCAGAGCTCTGGATCTAGCATAAGGTTCAGGGCATCAATTTCCTGCAGTTGCCAGTGAAAAAATCATGATATAAAGGAAAATATTGCGATTTTAGGAATTGGTCAAGATATGGAATTCCATCTGTGGCCATCCAGCCTGGGCGGAGGTCAGAGGGTGGGGTTACAGCCAGACCCGCACAGAACCGGGACTAAAAGCGGTGCAGTGACATTTGTTAAAGGAGGTATGGAGGGATTCTACACAGTTTTTCATCCTCTTCCCTGTTGTACCTTCTTTGCCCAGGCCAGACAGATTCAGGTGGGTGGTTGAGCACCACCAAAACGTCCAGCGTTGAGACCACAGTTTTCCCACAGCACAGAGAGAAAGAGCCCCATTGGTCCAAGGGCAAATTCTTTGGCTGCTGCTTTTGACTTCTACCTGTGGGTCCCAGCCCTAAAGTTAACTTGTGCAGGACCCTTTACCCTGCCTAGAAAGACCCTTTACCAG